ATATTTTGGGAGAGAGATGGGTACTAATGTTTAGCTTGCTTAATTTGGCAAAAGCCTATGTTTGTTTCAATGTGACACTTCTATGGAAGAGCTTTGCCCATAAGTAACTAGATTTGAAGTCTAGAGAATAATTTTAGGTGTTTGAGAAGTTCATTGAATAAACCTACAAGGTAATCCCCAAGTCTAATTTGAGATATTTTTCTAGGTGAATGGAGCATAAGTTTGGAGGCTGTTCCAGCAAAGAACTAGTTCTTTGAAACTTGAGTATGTCCTGATTGGGAGGTTGGGCAGATATGTAAAGGAGTATAGCAATCGTGTGCATGAACATAGAGCATAAGTATGCTAGTAGAGTTGGTTTACAATTGTTACATTCTTTATTCTGCTGCACCTGGGGAGCTTGTTAATTCACAATAAATAGTTCTTTATATGTTGACAATAGTTTGAAAATTGAAACAAAACAGTGTCACTGAGGATAAAAATTCTCTTGACAATGGCTTTTTTATATTCAAATTAAACATGAAGTAGATATGGGGAAAATCCTTGAAATTGGGCCATTTTATTTTGGAAGTAGACTAATTTTAGTGAGAAGATGGCAGTTGTACATGCATTTGACTAAGAGTGAATTCTCTTTTGTGCACATTCCGATGAAATAATGAAATTTCTTAGTGTTTTTTCAATTGTGATGTCTAATATGTTATAGTAAGGTCTTAAATTTGAAGGAGTGGGTATTTGAAGATTATGGGTGTTGACCTGTAGGTAATATATCCTTACATATTTGCCACACTAGCATGAGCTTTGCTTTGACAAATATGACGATGATTTGACTAAGAAATTGTTTGAATTTTATTTTGTGTCAACATTAATTAGAGAATTGTGTCAAGATGCGAAGCTACTGCCTTGCAACGTCAATTTCAAGCTATGAAGTTACTGCCTTCCAATGCTAATGATTTCATTGTTATTAATCATTGATTATGTCTATCAAGAAAAAAACTTTAACCATGAGAATCTCTTGGTTGAGAATTTTTATTTTTAAATTTTTTTTTGTGCTATTATGTTGCACTGCTCAAATGCTTTAATCTTGTGATTGTTTGATTATGAATCAGGAAATATATGATGCCCATTGAGTCCATACCTTTCCATGAAATCATCTGCTTTAAAAATGTCGACAAACTTCAAGTAGTAAGTATTTTTGTAATATTGAAACTAAGAAATAGAAATCAAATGGAAAATGTTCACTGACTACTTATTGTTGTTAAGATAGTGCAAAATTTTGGTAACTACACAAGTCATTTAAGAAGCTACATATGAGTTGATAGGTTCTATTGATTTCTATATTATATTTTGATATAATGTGTAAGTAGTTTAATTGTAACGGTGATGGTGGTGGTGTAACCAGACTGTCTTGTCTTCCTCTCCATATCTTTTTGTCCTTTGGGTTAATTTTTATTTCATTATTTATTTTTTAACGGGAAAAATTTCATTGATAGTTTTATTGTAAGCAGGGGGAACTAAAGTTTGTTGGAAGCCTTCAACCTACTTCCCAGTGCTGTAAAGAGTACATGATTGGTCTTGCATGTGTTGTATTGCATGCAGTTGATCTCCCCCCCCCCATATTTTTATGTTAGACAAATTCATCCATGCAATTTAAATATCTTGATTTTTTTTTTTTGAAAATTTAATCTTAAGAACTATTGATGATCTGTTACTAAACCTAAAATTGATTGGGCTTCACAATTTGGTAGGGTTGCTGATTTCGTGGTGGCAAATTCCGATCCTTTCATACCTATGTAAGGAAGTTGTCAACAACCCTTTTCTTGGAGTTTAGTACAGCATTGTAACTTAACATTTTTCTCTTTCTCGCAGAAGTCAAAAGACTCGTAGGTCTTGTCATTTCTGGAAGTGGCTAAGGTATCTTCTTGTCCTTTGCTTATTTGTTCTGTATAGATGGAGTTTTCATATTTTACTTCATATTTTGCTACAAGCACTTGTTGTCGTGAATAAGGATAAATTTACTGCAACACTGTGAATAGAGCAACAAGCAAAAAAGTTACTCTTAATGTCAAAACAGAACTCATAGAGTAATGATGTCTTCTAGTGACAAACTTGATATGATTTGCAAATTGATTTTGTTTTTCTTTCTTTATTTCTTGTAAATAATGCAATATAGATGGTACTTGCTATTTATAGATGGTGCTTGCTATTTTATTAATCTTTAATAAAATCTTTGCTTTGTAATCTTTTCTTTAAGTGGCCATTTAAGATGTGAGAACTACTGAGCAGAACAAAAGAAATCGGAATTCTGAATCCTATGTATGATGTTGCATTGCTTATTGAAACTCTAGGAAAATAAAATTCATGGAAGCAAACTGAACTAGTTGGCTTTGTCTAATTACTCTTACCTCAACTTGAATTTTTATTCCTAAAACTAGCTTGTCTTTAGATAACACAACAGCACATCATGACTTTTAATTCTTAGTTTTAAATTTTTATCTTTGGGACATCACATCTTGCACCTGCAGTGGGCTTATCTGTTCGTCAATCTTCAATTGCTCATGAAATTTCTGAACTTATTAAGAGACCTAAGCTTGAGGCAAGAATTTGTTATGACCCAGAAGATTTTTGGCTGGATTTAGAAAGGTTTTGCACTTGAGCATCTTGGTTATCTGGTAAGTAATAGATTGTGTTGATTTCACCTTTCACATATAATTCTGATGTAACTTTTATTCCCTACAGCATTCCATTTTCTGAATCTGATCTGCGCAAGGCCTCTGAATCATTGAAAAGAGTTGCAGCATCGGTTTTGGCGGCTCATGACTGAATTGAAGAGTGCACATCAGATTTCATTTTATTTTTCCAATGATATTTTAGACATTTCTTTGATTGCATCAACAGAAAAACTCGGGAATTTTTGTTTCTTGGTAGATGCTTTCATAGTATTTGTATGTATAATTAGTTTGAATTGCATCTTTTGTGCCGATTTGTTTTGCAATAACTTTCAACTTACAACTAGGCACTAGTTTAACTTTATTTCATCTTGGAATTGAAATATTTTTGCATATTGAAAAGCATGAATTGATCCGGTATTATGTTACCTAAATTTAGTCAATATATTGAATATTTTTCATCTTTATTATAGGTTTTTTTTTTTGGGGTTAAATCTCACAAAATTAGCACAATTTAAAAAAAAAAAACAAATGAAGCTATAGTGGCGTTTTTAAATGCCAGCAGTTATATTTTTAAAATAAAAAAGATCTATCACGACGTTTTTAAAACGTCGCTAAATGTAGCATTATCATTATGCCGCCTACAGTAATATAGCGATGCTTTTAAAGCGTCACAAAGTTATAGCGACGGCCGCATCTTTGACGTTTCGTACAAAACGTCACAAAAACAACTAGCGGCGTTTTTGATAGATTTAGTGGCATTTTTTAAACGCCACTAAAAGCCTAATTTCCAGCAGTGACACTTGCCGATAATTGCGCAATAGCCCATAATTTCAACAAACTGCAATTTTCAACGTTCTCAAAACCCAATTTTGACCATACCAGTGTGAAGTACTCTTTAAGACGAGTCCAACGCAAAAAAACGACGTCGACATCGGACTTAAAACGAAGGAGATACAAGGACTCAAAGTCACGAGCTCAAAACTGGAACACTCTGCCTTTCACGGCATGCAGCATGCAGGTGATGAGATAAGAATTTATCATGCGCTTCTCGGCACAATGTTCTCTGTTGCATCTTACCGCATTCCAGTTAATCGGATGGTCTAGTAATTTCGAGAACGCCTACCCTCTAGTTTTTTGCTGTGTAGAATCCATTTTTGAGGTCCAATTTTGTGAATTTCGAGTATTAGTTTGGGATCAATCAACTGGAAAATCGGGGACGTTAAATGATAGTTCACTGGTCAGATCGTGTCCGATCAACATGCAACTTTAATAGCAGGTTCCTAGAGCTGGGCCATGATCATCCATCTTCACCGATCACTCACCTCAACTTGAATTTCTTTTACATTCGGCTATCACAACTATGGATATACGGAAACCAACGAACCAACTTATATCCACAATTAATTCGGTAACTTACTGACTTAATCGGCTCAATGCTTACTCGTCAACACTACTCGGCCTCAAGACTACTCGGCCGCCCATACGTCACTACATCGAACAGTCCCGCCCCATTATCTACGTTATTCGGCTCACAATGTTATATGTCAACTTATTCAGCAATAGCGTTCATCGGCATTATGAATGCTGCTTGCATATGATCAACTCGGCTTATAACTTATTCGGCAAAAATTACACCGCAACATTTCTTATTCGGCACATTCTTCGACGTTTGCAATATCGTTTTGCAACAATATGCGGCAACTTTGTGACTTATTCGGCACTAATATCTCGACATAGAACTAGCATCTCGGCTTGCCAAAATCCACATCTGAACATACCACAGGATTCGTATCGGCTTAAAGAGTCCAAACCCACTAACCCGAGAAGTCCAGAAGTAACCAAAGTATGCCGAAAATTACGATACGGCTCACATTTTCTATCAACTGAAATTGTCAAAGCTGTCAAACTCAAGTTTTGCCCACACCAACGTGAAGTACTCATTGAGACGAGTCCAACGCAACAAATTGCGTCAAAATCGGAGCTCAAACGAAGCCGTACGGGCCGCTCAAAGTTTGCCCAGAAAATGAGTTCTTTCTCTGGGGAAGACGATCCAACAAAATATAAAGAAATGATCATGTGCTTCGCGGTTGTATTACACCCTGTTGATTTGAGCCGTTAGATCCATTTTGGCTATAATTACGCCATCAGGAGTCTGATCACAGTGATCCAGTAGTCCTTTCCAGCTATCTGACGCATTCCAGGTCCATCTGCACAGTCAGAATTTGCAAATTCAACTCAAAATAAATAAATAAATAAATAAATAATTTCCGATTTTACTCAAAAATTGAGCGCAATGACTCATTTCACATATCACCAAGCACCCTACTTTGTCTCGACTTCATTCCGATTTCGCCACGGCACCGAACAGGGGCACGAAATCTGTTTCAAATTGTTATCGGCCTACTCGGCAATTTTGTCCCAAGTCAATTTTATTCCTTTCGAATAACTGATGTCATTCAAAAGCAATGGGGCAAATATACGTTGGACAAGAATCTTAACTTCAATAAATTGGCAACCATTGCCAACCAAGTTCTTAGCATATCCAACTCCGAAGTGAAGCCGACACACCGCGAAGCTAAGAAAAGTTGCCGACCAAACGATCGGCACAATCAACGACCCAAGTGTAAACGGACACCGATGTTTTGGCACTAGTTACTCGACAGTACATCAACTCTACCCGGCAAGATTATTCGACCATTATTAATTCAACACTATGCATGATCATTATTTGGCCGTGCATCAACTTTATTCGGCTAAGCAACATTATTTGTCAACTTTATGCATTGTCAAACTTTATGCAGCAACATTGGCCACAGTATTCAGTAACTTTATTCACCTCACAACACTATTTGGAAAAATAATTTCCCATTGGGACATCTTAGTCATTTTTTCGCTTTCCAATTGGGGCACATCAGCCAATCATCATCTCGGCACCTTTGACATGCATGCATACTCAGCCAACTTGGTACAAACATTACAACATTT